ATGGCATCTTTTCCCATCACAGGTAGCTCTCTTCCTGTGGGGTCTACCAGGTCCTGTGTCTCAAATGACATGAGTGCTGGCACCACAGGCTGGAAAAGGGGTTACAAAGTCCCCTTTACTCAGGGCCCACTCAACACTGGCAGCCTTGTATGTTACCTAGTATATGAATAGGTTGCTTGACTAGTGGTCTATGGGGTCCTGGTGTGACACAGTAGGATAAGTATGCTGTAGGATAGCCACAAGGTTGGCAAACTCACCAGCTGCTCCTCAGAAATCCTATATAATGTTCCTAAGAGTTGGAACCAACTTGAAGGCACTTAACAACAACAACGAATCTATAGATTGGTGAGCACTGTAGTAAAATGCTCTGTACAGCCATGTTGGTCTAAACCACAAGGTCGGTGGTTTAAACCCACCAGCTGCTCCTTGGAAACTCTATACAGGGTCACTTTGGGCCAGAACAGACTTGAAGGCACTTAACAACAACAACAAGGTACCGCTGGTGTGGCATTGTGGGATAAGCACTGGACTGCAAGGTCGGTGGTTCAAACTCACTAGCTGTTCCTTGGAAACCTTATACAGGTTTGCTATGAGTTGGAACTGACTTGACAGCACTTAACAACAACAATAACAACCACAGTGCCACAGAAGAAAGAACTGGAGATCTATCTCCATAAAGACCACAGCCAAGAAAATGCTGTGAAGCCATTCTGTTCTGTAACACATGGAATCGTTGTTGAGTTGGAATCAATGAAATGACAACTGGTTTTTAGAATATGGACCTGGCATATGCCCAGATGTGCACTATGCTGTTTCTGGTTTTCTTCATGTGGAGGATATGAGATACAATCATTTGCCCTTTACTTTCAAAGAGATTTCCTGGTATGCCCTCGACTTCCCACTGACTCTTCATGGGGGTTTACCCATTAAGTCACCAGGACCTCCATAAAATGTGCCACTTCTTGCTCATCTGGTCTGATTGACAAGATGTTGTCAATACGGAGGACCAATGTAATGCTCTGTAGAATGGTCCAGACCTCTGTCATCTATATAGTGTGACGGGGGTAGCACGCTACGATAGGTCACGACTTTAAATGTGTGATGTTGGCCAGCCCATGTGAATGAAAATGGTTTTGGTCCGCTTCTCCCATAAGGATAGAAGTTATTTGTCAGATCAATGGTCACATATCATCAACTTGAAGCCATGTTAGTCTATTCCAGCAGATACACTGTGTCTGTCACTAAGTTGTGTTGGTACCACTGTGTGTTGAGTTTGTAATATTTCACTGTTAGCCTCCCAGATCGGTCTTCTTTTTATAGAGACCAAACTATTGAATTAAGTAGGGAATAGGTGATGTACACAGTTACGTACTTGACTACTAACTGGGAAGTTGGTAGTTCAGACTACCCAGAGGAGCCTTGGAAGAAAAGCCTGGTCATCTCAGAGCTCACAGCTTTGAAAACCAGTGGAGCACAGTTCTCCTCTGACACAGGACCATGAGTTGGCATCAACTGGACGGCAACTGGAAGAAGATGGGACCACCTGCCTTGTGTCCTTAAGGTCTTCCAGAATGGTAGAAAGCTTAGCCTTGATGCCATTTCCCCCAGGGTGCAATGTGGTTTTGACTTATTGTTTGGGGTGGAGGCATGTTAGGTTCAGAGGTGTCTTTTAGCTTTCTCCATGATGACAGTTCTTATGCTAGACATTCTGCCAACTACCAATTGTGCATTGGGGAAGTGACCACTAGGCAAGCCTGAGCTATATTTCCATTCATTACTTATCCTCCATGTTCCTTCTCTCTAACAAGGGACGAAGATGATACTTTAGGCCCCTAGTTGTCAGTGGCAGGTTGGAGCCAACAGCCTTCACAATGTCCACTCATCAATCCAGTGTGTAGTTAGCCTAGTAGAAGGCCGTAGAGCCTTGGGGAAGAACGGATGCATTCAGTATCACGTATACTTGCTGTGGTCTTCTTCTTCTTGAGCAGCAGCTTTCTGTACTCAGTGGATTCTGGTTCTGAACTGGTTCAGGTTTAGAAACCGGATGGAGTTAGAAACTTTCAGGTTTAGAACGTGATGGAGACTTTTTATGGGGTGACTGCCCTCAGCTTCCTCAGCATTCAGCCTGACTTTTTTTATTGATTTTATCAATTGAGCAGTGCCTTTTCAGAGCCCATTTTTCTTTTCCCCATTAGCCATGGGCAGTTCTCTGCAGGTCAGTGCCTACATGTCACTTCTACCTTGCTGCGTTATTAGGATAATGGAATTCACCTTGCTCCTAATTAAGCCATCCCTGGTGGTACGGTGATTCAAGTGCTTGGCTGCTAACTGAAAGATGAGTGATTTGAACCCTCCAGTTACTCCATGAGAGAGCGATGTAGCAGTGTGATGCCATGAACTTGGGGGACCCTATGGGGCAGTTCTACTCTGTCCTATAGGGATGCTATAGGACTCAATGGCACTGGGTTTGGCGTTTCTGATCGCTGTCACCTGACCTTCATCAAGTCAGGGTCTTGTTCCCCACCCCTCTGCTATTGGGGAGTCCAGCTGTATCGCAGCAATCCTGCCATCAGCCCTGGCATGTGGTCAGGCCTGTCTTCATAAGATAGATGCTCACCTGCCAGGTCTTCCAGTCTCTATGGTGGTAGCTCGAGTGTTTACCTTGCACGGAAGGTTGGCTGTTGTATTCTAAGAGCCATCCAAGCAATGTGTGCCCAAGAGGCCCCTGCCTTATCTTCAAAGAGAGGGGTGTGCTTGCCTTTCACAGCAGACAGTGGGTCACTTTTCAGCCTAAAGGTTCAGGGGACTTTGAGAGGTTACATTTTTTCCAGCATATTAGCTCCATGGCCCAGGCTTGCCTCAGGGTCCCACTGTTCCCAGCCCGGCCCTGACCTTGGGGTGGTAGATGGAGCAGGGTTGAGCACTGGATGAGAGACTCTTACCTTGAAGCCATGGTCCCAATGCTCAGCCGGTCCCAATCTCCAGCTGCAGGGATGAGAGTTACCACCTATGCTCCTGAGATAGACTTACACTGGCTGATGGTTTCAACAAAACACCCTTACTCATGACGACTCCATGTGTGGCAGAGTATGACTGCTCCATAGGGATTTCAGTGGGGACATTTTCAGAAGAAGACCCCCTATTCTTCCTTCCCAGACATCTCTGGGTGGACTTGAACCTCCAACATTTAACAGTCCAGCACTTAACTGTTTGTACCACCCATGGTTCAGTTGGTTACCTGTTGTTGTTGGGTCAATTCTGATTCATAACAAGACAGATCAGAACTACCCCATGGGGTTTGGAAGGCTGTAAGTCTCTAAGGAAGCCTCATCTTTCTCCCATGGAGTGGCTAAGCTGAGAATTGAACAGTTGGCCTTTAGATTTGCAGCTGAGCTTGGAACCACTGGGTTTTAATCACTGTCAGCCTTTCATTGTCTTTTCCAATGCATTGGGTTCCATGAACAAAGACCCAAACGCACTGCCGTCCGTCGACAACAACTCTCTAGGACAGAATGGGACTGCCCCTAGGGTTTCCAAGACAGTGCTCTTTACTGAAACTGACTGCCACATCTCTGTCCCATGGAACCACTGGTGGGTTGAACCGCCCACCTGTTGGTTAGGAGGTGAGTGCTTACCAGGGCACCACCAGGTCTCCTTGGATTCCACAGCCCCTGTAGGATAAACAAGACTGATGGTTCAAACTCACCAGCTGCTCCTATGAAACCCTATGTTGTTGTTAAGGGCTGTCTAGTCAGTTCTGACTCACAGAGACCCTGTATAGGGTTTTCAAGGAGTGGCTGGTAAATTTGAATCACTGACACTGTGGTCTAGTGCATTATCCCACAGTGCCACACCAGGACTCCTCAGAAACCCTATACAGGGTCACTATGAGTCGACATCAACGTGAGGGCACTTAACAACAACAACACCCCCCAGTCCCCAGCCAACTCTCAGACATTTGAGATATTGCACCCACAAATCCCTGGAGCAGCTTAACAATAGAATCAGTATAGCCCAGCGGTTCTCGGGGCCCCCACGTTCTCCCCAGGAAAGGGTTTTTTATTGCCCATCCTGTTCCAAAGTTCCATTTTAGAGTCTGTCTCCTCAGGCCTCTCTGAACCCCATGCTTTAAGTTGGGGAAGTTGTGTAGTTGGGGGATTGACTTGTAGGGGTTTGTTGGGGGTCTCAGAAATCCGAGTCATCAGGGAGAGGGAGCAGGAGGGGCACAGGGGAGCCGGGACCCCATGTAGTCACAGCAGTGGCTGTGCATTGTTAGGAGCTGCCGGCCAGCTGGGCTAAGACTCCTGGCGGCCCTCTCTTTGGACAGAAGGAAGCATTGTCTGGCCCTTCACTGCTCTGCATGAGCCCCTTGTCACCACAGCTGCTGAATCCACCCCACTGAGGGTCACTCTTGGTCGCTGGCCCTCTACTTTTTACCAAGCAGGACATCCTTCTCCTGGAACTGAGTCCTTCCTGCTTAGATATTCTCCTCACCCTGGCTTCTAGGACCATTCTGGCCACACGTTCTCCATGACAGAGCTAGCCTGTCCCAAACTCAGACGTCAGCAGGTGGTGGAAGGTGAACAGGAAGAAACTCCTGGCAGTAATACGAATCAGATCCGACTTTCGTCAGCTCTTTCACTTTTAAAAAACACCCTTGGTGGCACAATGGTTAAGTGCTTGGCTGCTAACCCAAAGTTCTGCAGCGGTTCGAACCCACTAGCTGCTCCACCAGAGAAAGACCTGGGTGATGTGCTCTGGTAGAGATAACAGCCCAGGAAACCTCTGGGGCAGTTCTACTTTGTCATGTGTCGTCACCGTGAGTTGGAATCAACTGGAAGATGGTAGGATTTTGTTGCTTTTGGGTCTTGGTTTTATTCCTTTCTGAAACCTCTCACCACGCAATGCATTCCTTGTTGCCTGTTCCCAGCATTGGACACGCACTGCCTGGGTCTCCTGTGGATGGCACTGGGGACCCACTTGCTCTCCTTGCTCCCCAGGTGTGGAACCAGAATGGCAGGAGTCCGTCCATCACCTTCGAGTACACGCTGCTGCAGCCGCCACACGCTCATCACATGCAGCCGGCTGTCTACTACAGCTTTTCTCAGCCAGCCTCCGAGAGCACCGAGAGCCAGGAGCTGGGCGGGGCCGCCCTGCTGGGTTTCGTGGGCCACAACGGCTCCCTTTACGGCCATGCCTCCATGGAGAGGTTGGACCTGGGCCATCGGCTCTTCGGCCCCCCGGAACCAGGGCTCGAACTGGGCTTGGGCAAGGGCCCAGAGACCAATGAGGTGTGTGAGCAGGCTGGCGGTGGGGCCTGCGAGGGCCCCCCCAGAGTCAAGGGCTTACGAGGTAATCAGGGGATGGGTTGGGGCAGGGGCTTCCTGGGGAGGGGTCCTCAGTCCCCTCAGGTCTGGAGATGTGGTTGATGAGATGTACCCTCATTGGTCTCCAGTGCACCTAATACCTCCTTGGAGGGAGATATGGTTGTCCTATTTGACAGATGGGGAAATTGACTCAGACCACAGAGGTCACGTGTTCAAGTCTCCCAATCCACCCTGGGGGAGCTGGATTCAAGTCCAGGAGAGTTAGACCCCTTAGCTTTCACTCTCAGCTGAGCTCCTGACCTGGGTTCAGGTTTGACCGTGAGCACCAGGATGGGCAGACAGACAGACAGGAAGGACCACACAGCGTGTGACCGGGGAAGATGAGAACCGAGAGTGTTTGGTGGTGGGGCCTGGGAGTGGTGGTATGGGAAGGTATTGGCAGTGGGAAGAGGGGCAAGCAGGCTCTGGGGGGTGGGTGGCTGGAGACCTAGGTGGGAGTTCAAGTCCCAGAGAGTGGGCAGGGGCTGAGGAAACAGCCAGGTGGGGGGGAGTGGCTCATCAGGTGTGTCTGGGTCACCTCACTGGAGGGAAAATTTGAGGACCCACTAGAGTTCCTCAGGAAAAGAAACAGTAGGGTGTGGGTGTCCTGTGGTTGCTATGACCAATGATCACACACTGGGGAATCCCCAGTTCTGGAGACCAGAACTCTGAGATCCAAGTGTGGGCAGGACCACCCTCCCACCCAAGGCACAAGGGGAGACTCCTTCCTGATCTTACCCAGCCTTAGGCACACGTTCCTTGGCCTGTGGCTGTCTCTCTCCCATCTGTGCTCATCTTCACACGGCATCTCTTCTGCCTCTGTCCTCTTCTTATAAAGACACGAGTCATTGGATTGAGGGCCCTGCCTACATCCAGGCTGACCTCATCTCAGATGCTTAACTAATCACATCTCCAGAACCCTATTTCCAAGTAAAGGCACCTTCTGAAGTTCTAGGAGGACATGGCTTTTTGGAAAGCTGGAGTCCTCTGAGGGACTGTCCTGGGTGGCTGGCTTGCCATCAGCAACAGGATACTCACTCCATGATCTGGACTCTCACTGAGCCAACACCTGCCCTCTGGAACCTCCAAGTTCAGCTTCCTGGTTTCCGACCCCACCACTCTGAGTCCCTCCCCAGACTGCCCTTGTCCCCAGTACTGGGGGACACTTGAAGTTGAGTCCCTTGTTTCCCTCCTGTAGACAGAAACACCACTGGGACGGTTCTTTCTGGGAGCAAGGATGACCAAGAAGGTGATGCCCACTTCACCTCCCAGGAGCTCCTCTCGGCCAACGCCATCTCGGACCAGCACCTGGGCACAGTCTCGGACACCAAGGAGCTTACCCTCAACGAGACCGTCAACAGCATCTTTGCGCCGAGTGCCCCGAGGAGCGCCCCCATGGAGAGCCTCTATGTGGATTATGAGGAGAACGAGGGTGCGGTTCCTTACCTAATCAACGCCTCCTACCTGGAGCTGAGCAGTGACATGGTTACCAACACTTCCTCAGAGGCCCCGTTCCCCAACACCAGTGCCAGCCTCCCCAATGTGACCGGAAACAGGACCCACAAAGCCAGGTAGGAAGCACTTCCAGCTGTTTGGGCTGATGGTCAGGCCTATGGGGTGTAGGAAGCTCCTAGGCCCAGGTGCTAGTAAAGCCTATAGTGGGGTCTGCTGGGAGGACCACGTCTCTGGAGGCAAGTGGGAGAGGCCCACTGTTTCCCAGAGACCCCCACCTGCAGCTCTAGGTAGGAGGTAAGAGGCTGGACTCTGGAGGGGCTAAGGCCAGGACCCTCCTTGGGTTGGGGCCAGCTGGGAGGGGGTCTAGACCTCCCACTGTCCCCACCGAAGGGTGACAAGGGTGCTGATGTGTGGTTAGCAAGGCCAGTGACATGGCCATTGCCAGGCCAAGCTCAGCAGCATCTGCGGATGGGTGGGGATTGGAGGGAGACAGGCCCACAAAATCCCTTGACTTTAAACCGCAACCTGAGTGGGTTTGGGGCTTGGGCCTGGGGTTTACTCTTGAGGTGATGTGGTTGGGGCAACTTTCTTGACCTGTCCTCTGTGAGAAATGCTGTCGGTATCCCGGACTCTGCCTCAGCCCCTCTTAGGCACTACTGGGTCAGTATTAACCCCTGACTAGGACCTTTCCCCATTGGGACTTGGGAGGCAGAATTGGGGCTTTATCCCTCACGAGGTCACTGATGAGTTATCACTAACGCTCAAGCAATCCAATCTGTACTTGTTTTAGTGAGACTGAGGCTCGTTTATTCAATTTTTCAAAATCGGGCATCAGACCCAGTAGATACAGGCAGATGCGAGGCAGGGCCGGCTCACAAAGAATTTTATCCTCCCATCTTGAGACTCCTAGTCTCCCCTCAGTTCCTCCTTTACTGAGTACGACGGGGTTCACAATCTATCCCGGACAGCGCCTACTTGTCCTTGATGTTGGCATTCTCAATGAAAGTTCGTTTCCCTCTTGCCCACGTGTTTCCCTTATTTCCTTGATGGGTGTGTTCTTACTTTAAAGTTTCTCATCGATCAAACAAGTCTCTTCCCCTTCCATGTGGTTTTGTTTGTTATGATAGCCTGCTAAACCCTTGTGAGAAACCTTGTCCATACTGACAAATGCTCAAGTAATCCAATGTGTACTCATTTTAGCGAGAGAGAGACAGGTTTTCTTTATTTGATTTTTGCAAAATTGGGTGCCCAACCCAGTAGATGTGGGCAGGCAAACAGTTTTATTTCCCTGTCTTGAAATTTTCCCCTCCTCCAGTTCCCTTTCTACTGGGTATTAGGAGGTCACAGTCTCCTTGGAGGTCATCTACTAGTCCTTATTGGGAACATTCCCATTTAAAGTTTGTTTTTCCCTTTCCTCATGAGCTTCTCCTGTTTCCTTGATGGGTGCATTCTTATTTTAAAGTTCCTAGCTGGTCAGACTAGTTCTTCCCCTCCACTGAGCATCTTTTGTTCCTGAGCCTGCTACCCCCAAGACTTTCCTTAGTCCTGAAGATGGACTAGAGTGATTTCTCACACTCTGGGATCCCCTCAGTCCTGGAGATGCACCATTCTAAGAGTTACTTCTCACACTCTTGGGACCCAAAGCAGGGGCTCCATGGGAGAGGTGGGCATGAGGGTGGATGCTGCCCCAGGACTCTGTATACACCCCCTTCTCTGTTTCAAACTGTTTTCTGAGCCCCCTTCCCTTTGGGAGACCTGGAGTGGTGTGGCCTCTGCAAAGAGAGTCGGGGCCTGAAGCCAGAAGAGGCCTTTCTGAGTAAGTTCATCATGGTGGGACCGAAGCCCCTGTTAAATTTGACAATGCCAGTAGCTGTGTGCTGACAGGAGATGACAAGACACTTAGCTCTGCCACCACCTCAGTGAGGGACAGACATGCTCCTCAACCTTACGTTGGGCCTTAAGTCCCCACCTCTGAGGCCCTCAGGAGCTTTCAGTTGCCGAAGCCAATATTTTAGTGTCTCCTCAGTTCCTGTCCTGGTGGGACCTTACCCCACCCTCTCAGGCCACAGGGACAGATTAGGTTCCCGGTCGGTCGGTCTAGGGGCATAGTAATCCACGCCCCCAGGCGACCATCAAAGCAGGAGTGGTGACTGAGATGGTGTGGAGAGATACAGGGGGTGAGGGGGCCTTAGGAAACAATCAGGCCAAAATAGCCACATCTCAGCCGAGTTGTCCAAACACAGGAAATTGCATTTGCTTGAACAGAGGCAAAATCAAAGGGGCGCCCAGAAAGGAAAGGCTATTTCTGTCCTCTCAGAAAAGCTTCAAACAATCAAGGGAGGGGCGACCGCCACCAGACCAGACACTGGGGGCTGTCTGTGAGTCTGGGGCCCTCTCAGAGGCCTGGGGTCAGAGAAAAGCACACTTTCTGGCTGGTTTCTAGATGAGCATTGTCACCTCAGTAGGAGAGTGGGATGGATTTGCTGCTCACATCCCAGGCTCCTTGGGTCTCTGACTTCCTCAGGGACAGGGGGCAGCATCTCCCTTTTTGATGGAGGGCCAGGGAGCTCGTGGCACAGCCCATTTCCTGGTGTTTCCGGGCTCCTTGGTACCACTTCCAGGAACAGAACGTGCTAGGAGGTGCTGCATTGTTGTGCAAATAGATGCCGAGTTTTCTCAGGAGCCACATATGCTCTGCCGCCCTGTGCTGGCGTGAAGGTTGATGTGTGGGAAGTTTCTCCACAAATACCTTTTGTGCTTGAAATCCAGGGGGTTATTTTGAAAGGGGCCAGCTCTCTCTCTCCCCTGAGTCACAGGCTGTGTAATTAGATAAAGATGGCCGCCTCGCCATGGGTGGGGGCGGTGGAAACTCTGCATCTCTTTGTTCTAGGCGAGAGAATTTAGAGCTATTGAAAAGCAGGGTATGGGGTCCCCAGTCGGCACAGTGGAGTGTTTTCTGAATCAAGTGAGTCCAAGGATTTGTCTCCTGGTTCCACTTCCTCTCAGAGACCTTAGTCACGGGTAGGGATGTCCCTTGGACCCATATCCCGTTTTAAGATTTCCTCTCATTGTAAAGGTGATGGGGAGACCTATTCCTTTTCTCTCAGATCTGTTGAAGGAATCCTGGTGTGGTGCTGTAGGATAAACACTTGACCACTAACCATGAGGTTGGTGGTTCAAACCCACCAACTGCTCCTTGGAAATCCTATGCAGGATTGCTATGACTCCAGGACACTTAACAACAACACACCTGTGAAGGGGCAGTGAGGCCCCCAGGCCAGGGGGTCCCAGCAGGCTCTGGGTAGACAGCCTCTCTCATTTCTTTAGACCCTCTTTTAGTTCTCAGAGAGGCAATGTTCGTCACTGGAGGTAAGCTCCCAAAGCCCACCTCAGCAAACTGTAAGAGCAGGTCTCACACCCTTGTAAAATTCCACAAGCCTGGGACAATTAACAAATACTAAACTCCTGGTGTGGCACTGTAGGATAAGCACTGAACTGCTCAACCCATGTCAGTGGTTCAAACCCACCAGTCATTCCTTGGAAATCCTATAAAGGGTCACTATGAGTTGGAACTGACTTGATGGCATTTCACAACAACAATAACAAACTCCCAGTGTGATTCAAAGCAGTGTCTTTATATGGGGCTGACTTGAAAGCCCTTTGGAATATCTGTCCAGTGACCTCACCCAAGCCTGCATTCTCGTCCCATTTCTATAAGCCTGACACTGAAATACAGTCCCAGGCGAGAACCTATGCTCTTGTCCCAATTCTAGACCCGCAAAGGGGGTGGTCCCTACCATCTTCGGGTGGCTCCACGGGACCCAGAACATGAGCTGGGAGCCGCACCCTGCTGCAGTGGTCTGGGTCTAAAGGCTGGATTTATTGCTATCTTTGGGTCTGGGAGCCATTCCATTCTTCTGTGCCTCCGTCTCCCTGCTGGGTCCAAAATGATCCAGTTAGATTAGGTCACCGCGCCACCTGAGCGTACTTGGCTGGTTCCCAGTGACGTCCTGGTTTGCTGCTGAGAGTTTCCCTGTTGCCCTTTGGGGGTGGCATGGCAGGCGTCCCAATGTCCCAATTCAATCAGAGGCAGTTGAGACTTCTGGCACCTGAGGGACCTTCTCAGGTGGGAGGAGGAATCCACCAGATGATTGGGGCAGGATGTGTGTGTGCATGCACACGCGCACAATGTTGAAGCCCCAAGGCTGGGGTACTGAGAAGGAAGAAACCCACCAGTGTGTCCCACCCTGCAGCGTGCCTGTGTGTGTGTGGAGGGGGTGCCTCACTATCTTATGCAGTGGGGGCTCTGACCCTAGAGGGAGTACCAGCCTCCATCAGTGACTAAAGCTCCCCTAATTCCGCATTCTCTCACCCTATCTTGGTTTGCTCTTGTCTTCAGGACCAGGCCCAAGGCGCGTAAACAAGGCGTGAGTCCAGCGGACATGTACCGGTGGAAGCTGTCCTCCCACGAGCCTTGCAGTGCCACTTGCACCACAGGTACCTGGTGTGTGGGCCGAGGCAGGCTGGTCCAGCCAGGGATGGCAGCCCCAAACTGCTGGCAGAGAGCTTGGCTATGGGCAACCTGGCCCTGTGACTGACTGTCCGACAGTGGCCCCCACCCTGATGGCTATGCTGGACCAAGATGATGTCCAGGTCTCCAGGACACCCCAACACTCCCTCATTAGTATGGTTCATTCTAATCTTGTTGGAGCAACTTCCTTTTGGTTAAAATCAGGAATCTCCTGGGCTGGGTTGTACGGTTGTTAAGGGAAAACCCAGAGTAGGGAGGTAGACCCTGTGTTGGCCCCTGAGGGACTTGGTCACATTCTAGACTAATCAGTGGCACCCATGGTTTGGAAGCACATGGCTGGTCCCTGCCCCTGGGCAGTGCTTCCAGGCCAGGACCCAGGCCTTCGCAGGAGGGACCAGAGCTGTAGGCTTCCCCTAAACCCCCCAGGACCAGAGACTTCCTGTTTGATTGAATTTGGACACTGTTAGCATAGTGGTTACGAATCAGGCTGTGAACCGCAAGGTCAGCGATTCGAGACTACCAGCTGTTCCATGGGAGAAAGATGAGGTTTTCTGCTCCAGTAAAGATTTACAGCCTCGGAACCCCTGTACAGGGTCGCTGTGAGTCAGAACCGACTCCACGGCACATAACAACAACAACTACAACAGGAGCTGCCCCAAAGGTAGGATGCTCCCGGTCCCATCCCCCACAGGAGCTGAGCTCCAGGAGCAGCGGGCTCACCACCTGCACTGCAGCCAGCTGGCATCTCAGGAGCAAATTGAAGGAGGGGGTCCTAGACAGACTGCAGACCCTGTGCTCTGCTCACACTGTCTAGAGTGCCTCCTATCAAAGCAGATTCACGAAGTGTGATGGGGGGAGGCCAGTCTGGTGGGATGTGTGGTCAAAGAGGGTGGGAGGCATGTTGGGGGCTGGAGGGAGAGGCTAGCCTGGTGGGGTACATGGTCTGGGCCACCCTGTGATGTTGGCCAGTTGTCGTCTATTTCCTCCCAGTAGGATGGGTGTAACTTGTCTCACAGCAGCTCTCTGGGCAGGCGCTGGTCACTGGTACCAGTGGGGGACTATAGGCCCAGTTAGGACAGGGGTGGCCTGAGGACCACTCAAAATGGGGTGTGGCTGGATGGGCCACTTTGATAAGCGCACCTAAGCTAGATCTGGAGATGTTGTTGTTGTTAAGTACCATGGAGTCGGTTCCAACTCATAGTGACCCGGTACAGGGTTTCCGAGGCTGTAAATCTTTACAGGAGCAGAAAGCCTCATCTTTCTAGATCTGGAGATGAGTACCCCAAGGTCTTCCACGGTCCTGGCCCAGGACGCTGGGCTTCTGACCCACATGTGCCAGGCCTGTCGCAGTGCATCTGGGATGCAGCCTGCACCACCCCAAAACTCTAGTGGGAGCTAGCATTTCCGAGACAGCTCCTGTGACGATGCCTCCAGGGAGCAGACAGGTTTGCGTATGAATCCCACAGTGTCTGAAAAGTACCCAGCTGTGGGCCATCTCCATAAGCGGGTGACCCATCCATGCCGGGACCCTGCCAAGCCAAGAGCTGTAGATCAATGTGGGAGAAACCGTCTCCCCAGCTAGTCCTAGGAGGCCATTGCTCTTCTCTGAGAGACCCTCTTGGGCAGCAGTTTGTTGGGACCCTGGGGTCCCAGGAAGCATCCTGCTAGCTGCTCCTTGCCACTTGGGCCCCAAGGTGAGGGCATGTGGGACCTGTAGGTCTGCAGGTTTCAGCCCTGCTCTGACCAAGCAGTCCCCTCCCACTGTCCCCTAACTGGGGCTCACAGCTCACTTGTATTCAAAGAAGGGGCTTTGTGTTAAAAACAAAACAAAACAAAACAAAAACACCCCGCTGCGCTGGTGGTGCCGTGGTTAAGCACTCAGCTGCCTACTGAGAGGTCAGTGGTCCAGACCCACCAGCTATTTAACTCCACTGGAAAATGATCAAGCAGTCTGCTTCTGTAAGATGGACAGCCTCGGAAACCCAGTTGTAGGTATTAAGTGCATTGAGGTCCGACTCCCAGCGACCTGGCATACGATTTCTTAGGAGCGGCTGGTGGGTTTGAAACACTGGCCCTGTGGTTCAAACCGACCTCACAATCCAGTGCTTATCCCACAGTGCCACCCCAGGACTCCTCGGAAACCCTGTGGAGGCCTTCTGTTCAGTCTTACAGGCTCCGGATGAGCTGGGATTGACTTGAGGGCAATGGACTTGGCTTTTTTGGTGGTGGTGGGGTGGGTGAGTGGAATGCAGCCACTACAGATAAACTTGCATTCTCACAGCACTTCTGGGAGGTGTGTTTCCACTTCAGGGGTGAGCAGACTGAGGCCTGAGCTGTCTAGCCATGTGTCTCTGGCATAGCCCCAGGGGAGGTGGAGCTGGGGCTTGAATTCCGTCCCATCTTGATGGAGACCTGTTGATGCAGACCATCCCCCTGGGCCCCAGGCTGGTACCCCTGAGTGCTGGAATATTCTGACCAGACCTGCCAGGAGAAGCTTGAGCAGCTCAGCGCTGGCAGGGAAAGGCCCAGCGATTGCAGCTTGGCTCTGTTCCTTTATGGAAAAAAGAAAACCTAGTGCCGGCTCCATCCACGGCTGCTTCATCCCACTGATGGTTGGCTTTCTGATGCGCACTGCTGGGAGGGAGAACTAGACGGCTGAGCTATATCGGTTTCCTCCTGGAGGACCGGCACCCCCAGAGACAAGGATCCATCGTCTGTCACACACATGCACACACACATCCATTCCGACTTTGTAGGGGGTTTGCACAGGGCTTGGGGAAGGGTCAGGGTCTGCCCATAGTTTTGTTGATGTTAGTTGCAGTCCAGTCTGGTCAGACTCATATTGACCCTGTGTACAATAGAACAAAATGCTGCCTGGTCCCTTTGAGCCCATGGTTGTTGCCAAGGTGCCATTCCATCTCCTTGAGGGTCTTTTTCATCCTCTGTCTGACTTTTTGCTGACCCTCCACTTCACCAAGCATGATGTCCCTTCTGATAACATGTCCAAAGTACAAGAGATGAAGTCTTACCATAATCCCTTCTAAGGGGATGTTCTTACTGTTGTTGTTAAGCACCGTCAAGTTGATTACTGACCCAAAGCGACCCTGTATAGACTTTCCAAGGAGCAGCTGGTGAGCTTGAACCGCTGACTTTGCAGTTCAAATGACTTTGCAGTCTGACGCATTAGCCCACAGCGCCACACCAGGACTCTTCTTCCAAAGTAGTTGTTGTGAAGTGCTGTTGAGTCAGTTCTGACTCATAGCAAGCCTGTATAGGGTTTCTGAGGAGTAGCTGGTAGGTTTGAACTGCCAATCTTGTGGTTCACAGTCCAGTGCTGATCCTACAGTGCCACTCTTGAAGTCCAAAGTAATGGGTGCCTGAGAAAGAGGTGTTGTCGAGGGTTAGTTCCCATGGGGGTGTCTGCATCTGCTCCAGCCAATCATGACCCATGAGCCCAGCCTGGGTGCAAAGAGAAGTGGCCGGACCCTGGGATGGGGGCAGGAGAGGGTTCAGACCCACAGAGTTCACACTGGGCTCCCCAGCAGTCCCAACCACGGGTTTCTCTCTGGTCCTCTGCGTCTGACCCAGGTTCAGGGGCGTGACCAAGGCCACGCAGCTTGTCAATTGGTTCTCTCATTCCCAGTGCTGACTGCATGGTCCCTCCCTTTGACCCCAGGGGTCCTGTCGACATATGCCATGTGTGTCCGCTACGATGGCATCGAGGTAGACGACAGCTACTGTGACGCTCTGACTCGCCCTGAGCCCGTCCGCGAGTTCTGCGCCGGCAGGGAATGTCAGCCCAGGTACCATGGCCAGCGCACACTCTGGGTTCAGCATCTGCTCCTTCAGCAGGCTGCTGTGGGGGACGAGGGTCTCAGTCAGGTGTCCCACCTTGGCAGATGGGAGACCAGCAGCTGGAGCGAGTGTTCGCGCACGTGTGACGAAGGCTTCCAGTTCCGCATCGTGCGCTGTTGGAAGATGTTGTCGCCTGGCTTCGACAGCTCCGTGTACAGTGACCTGTGCGAGGCAGCCGAGGCCGTGCGGCCAGAGGAGCGCAAGACGTGCAGGAACCCGGCCTGCGGGCCACAGTGGGAGATGTCTGAGTGGTCGGAGGTGAGCCGCCCCGGCCCCACCCCCCCCAGCATGCCAGCATGAGCACCCTGGGGCAGTGGTGATGCTGGTTCCACCCCTGCCTCCTGCAGTGTCCAGCCAAATGTGGGGAGCAGAGCGTGGTGACCAGAGACATCCGCTGCTCAGAGGACAATAGGCTATGTGACCCCAACACGCGGCCTGTCGGCGAGAAGAACTGCACGGGACCCCCCTGCGACCGCCAGTGGACCGTCTCTGACTGGGGGCCGGTGAGGCCAGGGCGGGTGTACTTTGAGACCAAGTGGGCCCTAGAGGCTCACCTTGTGCCTCAGTTTCCCTACCTGTGAGGACGTGGGGGAAGAACACTTATTTGTTCTCTGTCCCCCATTGTGGTCCCAGCACTTTGTGACTGCATATCATAAGCTCTTTGCTTTCTCTCTGCATCTCTGTCTCTCTCTGTCTCTCATCTGGATATTCCTGGGGGCTGCCCCTGGGTGGTGGGTCCACGGGGGGAGCTCTTTAGCTATGTTTTTTTCCCTGTGTGTGTTTTTCATCCAGCACGTATTATTTCTGTAATTAGAATAGAAAATGTTATTTAAAACGTGGTTACCATGGCAACTACTTCCCCCGGGCTACTGGGAGCCGTTTCTCTCCCTGGAGAACGATGGTAGGGGCCCTGTGGTGTGGCCTGGCTGCTAACCCACCCCTCCCCCCTGCAGTGCAGCGGGAGCTGTGGGCAGGGACGCATGATCCGACACGTGTATTGCAAGACCAGGGACGGCCGTGTGGTGCCCGAGTCCCAGTGCCAGGTGGAGACCAAGCCCCTGGCTATCCACCCCTGCGGGGACAAGAACTGCCCTGCCCATTGGCTGACCCAGGACTGGGAGCGGGTGAGTGTCCCAGCCTCCCCGATCCAGGAGACCATCCGATGAAGAGGGAATGTGGCTGGGAGCAAACTGTCCAAAGTGACACTTGGTGAGAAGGATAAGTTCATGACACATTATGAAGGCATCGTTCACTAAAGGTTGATCTGAAATACAAAAGAAGCCAAGAGGGTCAAGGGGAGTCCATGGCTCCCCAAATCTAAAAACAGGCAGTGTTCACCCCGGACCCCCAAAGTCCCCAGTATGGACCACTAGGGACAGGGTTGTTGGTTGTGTTTGCTTTGGGCCCACTGTTCAGTGTCATAGCCACTTTGCCTTCCCTGCCACCCCATCATGGTCACTGACCGGCAGCTCAGTTGCTTGGCTCTCCACCTAACTGCTTGAGTCCATTGTTGCAGACAGATCCCTGTTCCTTCTCTTTATTGCTGTGGATTTAAGTGCTGTTACGTTGGTTCCGACTCATAGAGACCCTGTATAGGGTTTTCAAGGAGTGACTGTGAGCTTGAACCACCGACCGTGCAGTTCAAACCCATCTTTCAGTCAAGCACATTAACCCAGAGCATCACCCCAGAACTCCTTTCTAGGTTGGGCCAAATTGTCATGAATCATTGCATCTCACACAAGGTTTGGGACTAAGTGATCACCATGCAATCACAGGCAGCCGATTTGCCATAGGTGGAAATATTTGCTCCGGGATTGCTACTGACTATTATCATTGTGGGGAGCGAGAGGGGCGGGGGGAGAGGGGCTAAGGACCCTGTCTGCCCCTTGCCTCAGTGCAACACCACCTGTGGGCGGGGCGTGAAGAAGCGGCTCGTGCTGTGCATGGAGCTGGCCAATGGAAAGCCGCAGACGCGCAGCGACCCCGAGTGCGGGCTGGCCAAGAAACCTCCGGAGGAGAGCACATGCTTCGAGAGGCCCTGCTTCAAGTGGTACACCAGCCCCTGGTCGGAGGTGAGCACCTCAGCCCAGCCTGTCTCAGATTCCAACACACCTCCTTTGTCAGGGCTTACCCAACTCCACCAACACGACCCAACTCCAGAGGCTGGCGCGGAACCACCTCCTTTCAGGAAGCCCTCCTGCACTGCTCTCCGGAGTCTGCCTTTAACTTTTGAAGCATGCATGCAGGCAGATTCCAGGACGGGACACTGGGGTGAGGACAGTGTGCACCAGTGAGTAGCCAGGAGTGGACCTTCAATGATTCTTCCCCCACCCCAGCCTCAGGATGGCAAGTGGGATGAAGTTGGGAGTCCTGGTGTGCATTAATGCGCTGGATGGCACAGTTGCTTTGAACCACAAGGTCAGCGGTTCAAGCTCACCAGCTGCTCCTCAGAAACACTATACAGGATTGCTGTGGGCAGAATCGACTTGATGGCACTTTACAACAACTAATCCCTTACATATGGCCCCCGAGGCTGGAGGGTCTCCTGTCTCCTTCCAGCAGTACTGGGAGGGGCCTGTTCCCCCTTCCCCAGTTTTTGCAGAGGAAGAGCTTTAATCTCTGTGAGATACCTGGTGGACTTGGGGTCTCACAGGATAGGGACCCCAAGGTGGAGCCCGCAGAAAGAGGATGTTGAGTCATTTCCGACTCAGAACAACCCTGTATCAGGTTTCCAAGCCTGTAAATCTCCACAGAAGCAGAAAGCCCCCCCCCCTTTTTTTCCCTGAGGAGCAGCTGGTAGATTTGAACTGCTGACCCTGTGGTTAACAACCCAATTCATAATCCATTGTGCCACCAGGGCTCCTCAGAGCAGACTCCAATTCACAGGTGGGTCAGGGCTGACCCCCCCCCCCCATGCCACCTCAGTGCTCTGGCTGAGCATGGCAGGCCAATTTAACTTCTGTTGTCCATCTTCCTGTGGGGGCTTGCCAGCCTCCCACACACTTCCCCCCCAGAATAGACACTTGAGTTTTCTGGAATTCACACCGAATAAGAGTCCGTGTCCTTGGCCACACTGCCGACCAGGGACCCCTCCCTATTCCCATCTAACACTGGGGCCATCAGCTTTCAGGAGAAGGTGTGGGGGGCACATAGTGGTCCTTGAACACCCCTGGTGTCTGCTCTGTGTGGGCAGGCTGTGTGACTGCGTCTCAGCTTCCTCCTTGTTGTGTTCAGTGCCATCTAGTTGGTTCTGACTCATGGTGCCCCTGTATAGCATTTCCAAGGACTAGCTGGTGTGTTTGAGCTGCCAGTCTTATAGTTTGCAGGCCAGTGCTGATGCTACACCAGGAGTCCGTCAGTCACTTCCAAATTCCATTAGGATAGCACGTCCGTGTGGTGCTGGAAGATACAGCTGTGACCTTCCACACTGGGGCTCAGATGCTATCCTCGGCTGAATGGTGGGTGGGTGCTCAAACTCTAAACACCAGGGTTCAAGGGGAGGATTCTGGGTCTCTAAGACTGGGGGGTACACCTAACAGTTACTCTTCTCAGAGAGTGGTGGTCCAGGGGCTCTAACCACCCCCTCCAGCTTCAGATCCTCTGTGGAAATACTTTAAGAGGGGCGTTCTTTCTGAATGGAAGCTCTGCTCAGCCCCTTCTCCACAAATGTTCGAGACAGAACATTTGCTGCTTTATTCAATCATGGGACCCCCCCAGAAGAAGTGGGTGGATGGGGCTGGGGGCTTCCCAGAGAGGCACTATCTAAGCCAGGGCCTGAAGGACTAACAGATATTAGCGGTGACCTGCGGTGACCTGGGAGAGCTCCAGGGAGCATGAGTGAAGGTTCCCTTCTGGAATGGTGGCTTCCAGCTGGGAGATGAAGTGGGAGGGGAACAGTGAGACCTGGCTGGGCAGGAGGGTCCAGGGGGTGAGGAGGAGGGGCAACTATGGAGCTAGGACCCCTGGATAAAGTATAGTGAGGGGCACCTTCCTTAGTAGGGAGGAGGGGGAACCACATGACGAGACCTAGTGGTATTGGGGGAGGGGTGTTTCCTTCTGGGACTGCTTCTCCTCAGCCCTGGGAGACAGGGGGTAGGGGGATGGGCCAGGCACCAGGGTTGGTCCCCAGGGACACATGCAGAGGTCCTAGTGCACCTGCCAGGGGATGACAGGCTTCTGGTTTCCTCCAGATGGGGTCCATCCCCCATCTCAGAAGAGGTAGTCTTAGAGCCAAGTCTTAATCGCTTTTTCTTGTGCCTTCACCAATAACTTGAGGGTGGGCCTGGGGTGGAGCCGAGGCTTCTCTGGGTGATGTGGGGTACTGTGCCGGGAGCACGAGGCAGTCACCGCCTGCAGATGTTGGCAGGAGGACACGGGTAATCGGGGTCAGCAGATGTCTCTGTTGCTCTGGGCAGCTCAGTGGGGTTTTCCAAGGGGAACATCTGGATTGATGGGTGGGGTTGCTGTGGAAGATGTGTTTAATTGGCTCAGAACAAACATGGTTTTTTGCTCAAGTGAGAACCCAGCACTCTCCCTCCGCCCTGGGTCTCTGGGACGCTGAGCCAGATGCACACATAGACCCCAGGAAAGCAGCAAACAGGGGACCAGAGACAGTGGGAGACCAAGGCAGTGTAGTACGGGGATAGAACTCGGGTCAGTGACTCCAGACATTGCTTGTCACCTGGTCACCTCAACGCTGCTCTGCGGATCAGGTTTCCGGTCTCCCACGGGCATGCACAGGCACCCTGTCAGCTGATATTCAGCATCGGATGGAAGGTGGTGGGGTGGCAGGGTGAGACCCCATCCTCTCAGCCTGGTGTCTGGCTCCCATGCAGTGCTCTAAGATGGGCAGAGTGGATGTGGTGGCAGGATGGGTGTCTAGCGTAAAGAGCTCCGCCCCTCTTCGGAGCCCCGCCTCCTCATCCCAGGGTCTGCTCCACTTTCTCCCCTAGTGCACCAAGACTTGTGGGGTGGGTGTGAGGATGCGCGACGTCAAGTGTTACCAGGGAACTGACATCGTCCGAGGCTGTGACCCCCTGGTGAAGCCCGTTGGCAAGCAGACCTGTGACTTGCAACAGTGCCCCACCGAGCCGCCCGGTGAGTGGTGACTGGGTGGGCTGGGGAGGGGACCGTCCAGTGGAGGGCAGGGATCCAGGGTGGCTTTCCTACAGGGGTGCTGACCTGGGTGCTGGGGCAGGGGCTGTAAGTGGGAGGAGATGTGAAATTCAGTACTCCCTGGGGATGAACGGTGGTGTGCTGTGGAGTTGGTTCCGACTCATAGAAACCCTGTATAGGGCTTCTGAGGTTGTAACTCTTTATGGGGCAGAAAGTCTTATCCTTTTCTCTCAGAGAAGCTGGTAGATTCCAATTTCTGATCTTGTGGTTAGCAGTCCAGGGCTCCTTTGGGGATAACTACTGGAGCTCTAGGGTGGCGCTGTGGGCTAATGCATCAGGCTGCAAAGTCATTTGAACTACAAGTTCGGTGGTTCAAGCTCATCAGTTTCTCCTTGGAAACCCTATGCAGAGTCGCTATGGGTCGGAATCGACTCGAAGGCACTTAACAACAACAACAACATTGGGAGGGAAAGGGGTCTTGAAAGGGACTCCTGTTACACAGAGTGGAGAGCTGAAGTTTTAGTGGGGGCGTGAAACAAGAAACAGGGCGTGCTGGATGCCTTTGAATGATTGAGGAAGGGGTTGGAGGGTGGGTGGTCACCTCCTGATGCCCACGTCCTACCTCCAGATGACAGCTGCCAGGACCAGCCAGGCACCAACTGTGTGCTGGCCCTCAAAGTGAACCTCTGCAGCCACTGGTACTACAGCAAGGCCTGCTGCCGCTCCTGCAGGCCCGTCCACTCCTAGGCCTGCCATCTGCCCTCTGTCAGAGCACCCACTGAGCCGCGCCATCAAGTAGGGCCTTTCCCAGGATCCTGGAGGGAGCGCCCCCCCGCACGCAGTACTGTGCCTGGCCCAAGGACATTGTACATAACGTTGTGTGGACTGTGTTTCCAAGGTTTCAACGCTCCCGGCCGTGTGCTTCCTGCAACCACACATCCAGAGAAGCTAGGGCCCAACGTCACCTCACCTACCCCGCCGAGTCTAAGGGGATCCGAAAGTGCTGCCTTGGTGCCCAGTTTGGTTTAGAGGAACTTCTAGAGTTACCCCTCACTGCACTGCTGGACCTCTGTGCAGATCTCTATAAGAGCACCTCAGTGCCTGGGGACGGCCACATTTTATGTCCCAGGGAGCGGCCGCTGTCCTGTCTGGTCATGGGCAGTGATTTGTCCCCGCCACTGTCCACCACTACTCACCTGTGTATGTTAATAAAGCGTCCTATTTATGGCGCTGGCCTCTAGCTTGGTGCTTCTAGCAGGAGGGTGGCAGTGGCTGAGGGTGATGGAGTCCCAGGCCCTCTGGGTGGGAGACACATTTGCTGAGGCCTTGGGAGTCAGGGACCTGGGGGAAGCTGCTCCTGCTGATGACAGCCTCAGGGAGCAAAAAGATAAATGTAGCCCGAGTGTGGTGTGAAGGGAGGAGAGGGGGGCTTTAGGGTGCTGGAGTTATTGTTGGGCTGAAACCTGGAGGTCATCCTCAGCTCACCCCCAAATGTGACAGGAAGAGGCCTGAGCGGGTTGTTGTGAGGGACAGGGAGATGTTTCCTTGGCAGGTGAAGTGGGAGCTGAGGTACTTTCCTCCATGAAGAGGTATGGGGTCTGTAGAGTGTGCCGAGGAACTAGAAAAGGGGGAAGGGAAGGAAAGAGGGAGGGGAAGGGGGAGAGAGGAGGGGAGAAGGAAGGAGGAGGACGAAGAAGAAGTGGGGGGAGAAGAGAGTGAAGGTGGCCTCAAAGGCAGAGGGGGCTCCTAGCAGGGGGAGCTGTGGCGGCAGATTCCTTCCTGGGAAGTAGCGTCCCCTCCACACACATCTGGGGCTTAGGGAGCCAGCTTCTGCTCTGGGCTGGAGGGGCCCTTCCTCTTCCAGGTACAGTGGAGGGAGCAGGCAGCACCCAGGTGTGTATGGGGTGTGTTCTGTGCACACACACATGGAGGGCTGCTGGAATCATGGAACCGATGGGGTAGAGGGACCTGCTCAGAGACACTCTGGAGTACAGCCAAGTCACAGAAACCTCGAGGGTTTGGGAGGCCTCCCCTCTCCATCTTCCCTCTTGCCGACACAGACTGGGCACTTGTATGCCCACATATGCGTGCCCTGTCAACACTGCAGCATATAACCCCCCAGTAGCCAGGGGACGAGCTGTCAGGATACCTCCCTGTCAGTACACTCAGCTGTTAGTTCAAGATCACCAGCCTGCCCCCCCCTGTCCCCCCTCCCCCAGAAGCCTGGAGGCTAGGCTGTTCTGAAAGGCTACACAGCCACCCAGGGCTATGACACACCACCTTCCTCAGAGGACAGCTCCAGACCCCCGGGAAGTGTCCGAGCCTACCTGCTGGACCTGAAAGGAAAGGTACAGTCGGCCGGACATGGGCCTCCAGAACGTTCTGGGAAGGCACCTGGGCAAACCTGCACCGGCAGCCAATTGAAGACTACACAGGGGTTCTTGTTGGAGACAAGTTTTATTTACTCTCTGGTTTCCACAGACCTCCCAGGTGGAGTTGAGCGAGCTCGAATTGGAGGTTTACTTCATTTTGAAGAAATCTATGTGTCTGTACAGAAAGGAGGATGAACGAAAGAGGACACAGGGCGTAACAGCCACAGTCAGTACCACCTCCTGCCCGGCACCCCCCACCCCCACCCAGCCCACCCCCAAGCTAATGCGACAGTAACAAACTCCATAGAATTGGTCCGAGGAAGTGTAGGTGGGGATCTCAGGTTCCACGAATTCCAGGAAGAATTCTGTTAGCATGTCCAAAACAAGGGAACAGGAGAGGAAAGGAGAAAAGGCAAAACCGCCAGATTGCAAAAATTGTACGTCTTCACTGACTCCGCCCACATCCAGGTCCTGGCGTCTGGAGGAGGCGCTTAGCGCTGACAGATCCCGCCTGTGGTTCAGGGATGGTCACTGCCCCCAGCTTTCTTAGGAAGGCGGCTTAGCTGAGAGTGTGGTCCGCTTTCCCTGGGAAAGAAGGGGCTTCCCACAGGGGACTTCATGGCCAGGCCTAGAGAGGGAGGGTCCAGAGAGGGAGAGTGTGTGTGTGGGGGGGGGCGCGGGGGGAGCTGGGTCGGGGAGAGGGAAGGGCTCTGAGCCATGCTTTGGAGAGATGGAGCAGGGCTATGTCTTGGTCCAGGGTCTTGGGTTTGGGGCATCTCTGGGGGCACTGATGAGTGAGGTGGGATTCCCCAGAGACACCCAGCCCTGGTAGAACCATGCTGAGAGTGTGTTCAGCGGTCAGTCTCTGGCTGTTGGGGTAGCACAGAGCCTGAGGGCTGCCTCCCTGGGGTGGCTGGTGAGAACCAGAACTTGAGACTTGTCCAAGACCAGACGCCCCATCTTACAGGATGACCTCACAGGTCAGCTTTCCTGGCCCTCCACTCTGCCCCCACCTGGTGGTGATCACGTTTGGGCTGAGGACTGAGGCATGTATTAGTACTGAAATGCCCAGGTTGAGGGGGGCATCCTCTCTTGCTCGGTGCCCCCCACTTTAACTTATAGTCCAGAGAATCTTTAGGAAGGAGTCTGTCCAGATGGAAGGTAGTAGCCAGGTCAGGCCTCAGGTGGGACATGTGTGTGAGCGTGTGACTGAACTAGTAGATGAGTGTGCTTGTGAGTGTGTACACGTGTCAATCAGTGTGGAGTAAGCATGAGTGTATATGTGGGACTGTTGTATGTGTGTGAAAGTGTGAATGAGTGTGGATGAGTGTGTGAGAGAGAGGGGGCCCCCTGACTGCACATCAGGGTGCAGGGGTGCTTACTAGGGGATCTGTGTCACAAGAGGTCCCAGAGTCACTGGGACCCACTTCCTGGAACAGATAGGAATCTCGAGGGAGGGAGGGACATGGCCCAGCTGCTGGGCCTGAGATGGAGACCACCTTTCTGATTGATGCACATTTTTGAAATGGGAATCTCGAGTCCCCTCCCACTTTCCTGCCACCACCTCTCTGTTGTCTCTATCATTCCAGGGCCCACCCTCACCAACCTGACCCCTGCTAGAGACCGGGGAGTCCCTCTATGGCTGGACCCCCCGGAGACAGGGAAACCAGGAGACTCGGGTGAGGCCAGGCTGGTACCATGGCGCCCATCTTAGCGGACAGGTGAGCCAGCGGGTGCTCAGACGTCGGTGCTGATGCTGCGGCTTCGGGAAAAGGCCTCGCGCATGGCCGAGAGACGGTTGGGATTGAGCGCCTGCAGGCCCCCGAAGGTGCCGGGAGGCAGCTCCATGTCCTCCTGGCTGATGCTCTTGTAAGCCACGCGCTCACCTCCGTTGTGCACACCCTGGTCCTCCGGCTCCTGCAGGAAGAAGGTGGGAGGCTCGTAGTAGGAGCAGCTGCGGCAGAGGGTGCGGGCCTGTGGAGACTTGTGGCTGAAAGAGGTGGAGGCTGCTGGGTAGAGGGCCGGCCCGTTGGTCAGCACGAGGTTGCGGTTGGAGTGCAGTGGGGGCAGGGTCGAGTGCACAGCAAAGTCAGGCTCCTCCTCATCCTCTTCTGACTCGTCCTTCTTACAGCAGTAGTACTGAGAACAGAGGCAGGTGGGTGGGGTGACACTCAGCCCCCAGCCCTCACCACATGCACACAGCAACCCTCCCCTTCCCAGATGACATAGGGGGCTCTGGAGCACAGATAGAGTTCTCCACTGCTCTCCCGGGGGCCACCGTGTGCCTCTCTGTGTCACAGCATCCTTCCTGAGAGTGGAGACTGGGTGTGGCACCCAGTGATGGGGGTCCCAGCTCTCCCCCTCCCGGCCTTGCCTCCTGGGGTACCTGGAGCCGGCAGTAGCAAAGCACTGCGATGATGCAGAGCAGGATCACTGTGGCCAAGATGCCCCCGGTGATGACCACGGTCCCGGCTGTCATCCGCCCTCCTTCTCCATGAACAGCCTGTAACACAGGCCACCTCCAGCCTTACAGCTTCTGTTTCCCCACGATGGGGGAAACGGGCTGCATTTCAGAACACCCAGACACCGTGCCTGAAGGGGACACAAAACAGCTCAGGGCGTGCATCTGGAAGGCAGCCCCACTCTGACTGCCCGCCATCCAACTTTGACCTCGGTTTCCACATCTGTCATGGGAGGGTGCTAATCACACTGACCTGAAGGGCTGTGTGAAGACTCAGACTCTCAAAGACAGACACCACGGTCCCTTTGTTTTGAAATAGGTCCAGATGCAATCAAGCCAAACATATAGTTTCTGAACCTGCTATTCCACCTAGCAAGACCATCTTTCTGTTCCTATGTCTGTCATTAGATACACTTCTACAACTTAGCTTCTAGTTGCTTCATAGTCTAATGTAGCCGATTCCTTTTTGCTATTTTGATTTTGCTGAGTACATTTGGATATAGGCACCCTGAGGACCCTAGAATGCAAGTAGCCCCATTGTACCGTATACTTGTTTTATGACGCATCACACTTACCACCACCCCACCCTCCTTTTTTGGTACATCTTCTCTTTAGTTAATATGTACGACTTACCATGTGGCAGTGAGTATTTGTGGATGGTGTCCTTCACAGATGTTTTGGTTTACTGCTCAAAGCACTGCCCTCTAGCAGAATATGATCTACTGGACAATGAAGTCGGCATTGGACAGGGACTCATAATGTATATAAAGGTGGACAGTGTTCAGTGTTAACGACATGTGACCATTGAACTTGAAATGCACACAACAGTCCGCACAATTTAATCTTCATTGTAGACCAGGACTAGCCAGTGATCTTAGTCGGTGTTTGGTACCATTAAGAAGCATCAGTTGTTAACCTAACACAAGGCATTTGATTAATGTCAAAACCAAGTTAAGACAGTCCTGTCTGGAGCCCCAAATGATTATGTTTCCATCAATATTAGATGCTGTTGAGTTGATGTGGACTTTCAAGGCTGGGACCTCTGAGAAGCCAGCCTTCCGAGGCACCAATGGGTAGATTTGAACCACCAACTCTTCTATTTTCAGCCAGCAGTCAAGAGCTTAACTGTTTGAGTCACCTACTCACCATCCCTTTCTGATATTTCCAGATGTTTTAATAGGCATTTTTTGTAACTCAATATTGGGGGCCTCTTGAATTTCAGGAAGGATCTCTGGTGATGCTGTGGGTTAAGCACTGGACTGCTAACCTCACGGTCTGCAGTTCAAACCCACCAGTTACTCAGAGGGAGAAAGATGAAGCTTTCTGCTCCTGTAAAGATTTGTAGTCTCAGAAACACTATATTGGGACAATATGAGTCAGAATTGACTCCATGGCAGTGGGATGGGGGGAGGGGAATAAGGAGGGAGTCCTGGTGGCACAATAGTTAAGCACTTGCTGCTATCCAAAAGGTTGGTGGTTTGAACCCACCCGCCCCTCTGTTGGATAGATGAGGCAGTCTGCTTCTGTAAAGATTTCCAGCCTTGGAAACCTCAGGGGCTGCTCTCCTCTGTCCTGTATAATGTTACTATGAATCTGAATGGACTCCACAGCACCAGGCTGAATTACAATACTTTCTTAGGAAACATTCTGAGAAGTGGAGTCTCTAGGTCTAAGTTCTCTTTGGAAACTTCTTGTAGTGGAAAATGTCAAACAGACACGAAGTAGAGAGAACAGAATCATGTGCCCCAGCTTCTGTTTCACCTTCTCCCCACCCATCTGCCCCCTGTCCATCTGTGTGTCCACTCTCCCAATCCATCCGTGTACCCATCCTCCCCTGTCCATCTGTGTGCCCACCCTCCCCTGTCCATCTATGTGTCCATCCTCCCCTGTCCATCCATGTGTCCACCCTCCATGTCCATCCATGTGCCCACCCTCCCCTGTCCATCTATATGTCTATTCTCCCCCTGTCCATCTGTGTGTCCATCATGTGCCCATCCTCCCCTCTGTCCATCTGTGTGTCCATCGTGTGCCCATCCTCCCCTCTGCCCACCGTGTGCCCATTCTCCCCTCTGTCTATCTATGTGTCCACCGAGTGCCTGTCATTCCCTCTGTCCATCAGTGTTTTCACCATGTACCCGTCCACCCCCCTGTCCATCTGTGTGCTGGCCAGCCTGTGTCAAGAGTAGAAGCGTCAATGGATGTGTGACCCTTGCTGGCCTTCACGGTACTCCTGCCTTAACAACGAGTTAGAAAAATGCTGAAGTTTAAACATCATCTTTCACACATGTGTAGGAGCCTGTTTTGGCACACATTGGTGTGGGGGTTCTGGTGTGGGGTGCAGGGTGCTGTAGATGGGGGGCTGGTCAGGGTCCTAGTTCCGAGCCCCCTCCTCTTACAGCCCCGTGGGAGACCCAACTCTCAGGGATTCACCACCTGAGAGTCTCTCCTGTCAGCAGCCGTGGTTCTGACTCTGACACCCAATCCAGTTGCAACAGTTGGACTCGCTCTGCAGACCCATGCCTGCTGTGTGGCAGCAGTGCCCAGGGTGGGTGCCAGGCTCAGCAAATAGGCATAGATGCCCCAGCCTGACATCAGTCCATGGTTAACTCTGAACAGCCCCGAAATTCCTGCCACCCTCTGCTCCTGCTGTGCCTCCCATGGCCTCTCCATATCCTGTGACCTGAACCCTGGGCACACCTTCCTCCTCCTGGAAATCCACCCCCTTCCTGCCACATGACACACACAGAGCTGCAGCTGACTATGCTCCCTGGAAGCCCCATGTCTTCATAGGGTTTGCTTGGCTGTGGTCTTAATGGGAACACATCACTAGTCCTTTCTCTGTGGTACCACCTGGTGGGTTTCAATCACTGATCTTTAGATTAGTGCCACCAGAGACTACTGCATATCATAAAATCTCAAAATGCCAGTGTTGGGGAGCCATCCATTTAGCAGGTATGAAGTTGGAGGCCCGAGTGGAAGAAGAGTAAGCACACGCCCATTTCCTCAAGTCCCAGCTGCCCGGTGACTCTGTGTCCACAGCCACCTGGGGGACAAAGCCCTGCCGTGTACCTGCTGGTGATACTGGCCCAGAAGCCAACCTCTGGAGGCCTCAGTCTCCTGATCTGTAAAGTGGGTCTGGGAAGGTTTAGACAATGGATTCCTGCAGGCTGCAGATTCAGTGTTCTAGATTTGCATTTCCACCTGTGCCGGTACAGCATGAAGATCAAGAATGTAAAAAGACCAGCTGTTGGTCCGAAAGCATTAACTCAATGTGGTGGACGTGACCCCTTCCCTTCTCAAAGGGGCTTGCTCTGCATTGTGGACAGTCTGCAGCCACTTCTGGGAGCTGGAGAAGGAGGCCGACTGCATCTAAGCACAGCTAAGCCCAGTGTCTAGGGAACAATCACGGGCTTTGGGGACTCAGAGGCTGGAAACCGACAGCCTTGGGTGGGGAAGCACCAAGGGGAGCTTCCTGGAGGAGGCGGCGTAGGAGCCGGTGCTGGAAGGATGGTTATCTGGACCTGCTGGGATGGGAGAGGGGGAGAAGCTCTGTGGGTGGAGGGAACAGCCTGAGCAAAGGCTCAGAGGCAGCTCATGGCTGCAGCTCTGTGCCGGGTAGCCCAGGGCATTCCTCCGCCGGTCTGCAACCAGGTTGGCCACTCTTCTACACGCTCTCCCTGGAGCAGCCTGCCAAGGCAGTTTGGCGAGAATCGTACTGAATTGTTGATCTGCCCCTTGGGACTATAAACAACTTTAAAGCTTTATAAACGACTTTGCTTCCCTGTCCTCACCCCTGGCAGCTGCAGGGATGGGTGGGGGCCCTCTGTGTGCATGGTCCCCACTCTGAACCTGTGGGGGCTCGGCTGTCTCTCACTGCAGTGCTTCCAGACAGACCCTTTACAAGCTGCAGTTGTTTCGGGACATGGTGGGGAACACCTGGTCTCAGAGCCAGACAGTGCCCCCCTCCCGCCCCCTCTACCACCCCACCCAGGCTTCCCTGGCACAAGACCACTTGGGTTGCTGCCGCCTGGACTGCACGCTCTTGGATCACTTTCCAACTCCCATTTTTCTCTGCTCCGTAGCCCCCCAACACTTTCCTCCACCATCTGCCTGACATGCTGCCTGCAGCCTGCATGGTCTACTTGTTTGGGGGATCTCTCCCCCACCCCCATCCACTCCTCCAGGGTCTTGCAGGGGCCAGGCACATAGCAGGTGCTGAATACCAGCTCCTGTCTGACCCCTGTTCACCTGAACTGCCGCAGAGGGGTGCCCTCCCATGTCCTCAGAGCTGGCTAGGGGACCATCTAGTCCAGGGACTGGCCAGTTCCGGACCCTTGGGGTAGGAGGGGCCGGTAAGATGCTGAAGCTTGGGTAGGGGTTCAGAGGGCTGCTTGTTTGAGGAGTGGTCCACCCAACCACGTGATGATGGCATTGCAGCTGGGTTGGCCACTGCCCATTTCCAGATGGGGAAACCAAGGCTCAGAGACAGGATAGAGCCTGGCTCAGATCCCAGGTGTCCTGCTTTTGTACTTGGGTCCCCTCCTCCTTAAACACATCTGTCTGGCCTATGGCGCCCCAGTACCTGGAAGCACAAGGCCCTGTCGTCCCTAAAGCAGTCAACAGACTACAGAGTTCCTGTCTAGGCCTCCTCCGCATTTGTTCCTAATTTCACGCTCCACAGGCTACCAGCTTCCTGTACTGAGAATAAGGAGCTGGAGAGGTGCTCAGCGGAGGCCCGGCTGTCCCCGATAAATGATCCAGCTCCCACAGCTGGGGAGGGAGGTAGTGTGGTCCCGAGAGACAGCCCCCCTCCAAGAAAGCGCCCTTCAAACATCTGTACCCCAGCAAGCAGGGAGAGCGCTGCCTATCGGGGATAGGGACCATGGTGGGATCTGTGCTCCCGAGAGGTTGAGGCTTCCAGTCTGGACACACAGCCAACTCAGGTGTCTGTCTCCCACGACCATGGGGAACAGGGTGTGGATGTAGCTTGAGGCTAGTCCAGGTCTCATAAGGCGGTAGCCTGGTACATGTTACAA